CTTATTAAGCGGACTTTAACGACCGGCGGAGCTGCGAACATAACAATGGATAACACACAGCTGAGCGAATGGCGCGGGGCGAAATCTCTGGAGCTTTTTAAAGAGCCGTCGGCGCGGTGGAGGCGCCGGGCGCGCCGGGAGCGAACGGTACATCAGCTGCGGGATAATATCCAATTATATGCGAACCCTGTTCGCCCATCATGCGTTTATCTCATTACGGACGTTGGAGACGCATAAGCCGCACATGTGGACCTCAGGACCTCTGGACCGCAATTCGTGTGGTGGTGTCTTTTTTTTTTATACAACCGCACACGCTCGGATATATTTGCTATTAGTGTTGGGAATTACGTAAAACAGACAAAATATGCTTTTGTGCGTATTGTTTCTTTGTTCGCGTTAAGCGAGTGGAAAATTCAGGCGTTCAACCGGAGAGGATTAATGCATTATAATAACTTGGTCTGCATTATGCGCTGATGGATGCAATAAATTAAGGCGACTTGAAAACGTTTATCGATTCGATAACCACTCGCGATAAAGCAGAATAATGCGTCTAGACACCGCTGGTGCACGTCTCTCGCACCTATTCTATTATCGAGTGGCTAGCGCCGATTTACACCGATGAATATGAATGAAGGCCATTGTCGACCTGGCAGCGTTACACTATTTATACGCAAATTGCTTTCATTGATTTTGTGTGCTTGTCAGACAACTCGTTTGCAAAAATGATAATAATCCAATCCAAGGTCATAAATAACACATTAGTACCTAGTTGGAAAGGTTTTTGGGGTTGCTATCGGTTGCAATAACACTTGGGCGTAGATGGTGTGGTGCAAGTAAATGGAAACAACGATGGTGCTACCTCCAGCTGCAGCATTGTGTATATCTGTATATGAATGTGAGGTGGTTATGGAACTAGACTGCTTTGGCCTCGTTGGAAACGATGTTGGAAAACGCGCGCATTACTTGCTCGTTTGCTGCAGCCGCGCGCTCCTCGCAAAAAGCTGAACGTCGAACGTTCGTCGAACATCTCCGTCGCTTCGTGTCTTCTTTGCTTCCTGCAAAACATATATGCATACATACATCCCCTTATTCCCTCACTTAGCTTCGACCGTGATGTTCATTTTATTAAAATACATTTGCGATGACTTGTGAGAGAGGAAAACATTAACACGAAATTTTCACGTTTCGAAAAAGGGTCTGAATTTGATGTATCGACAAAGTCAGTAAATGATTGCGGATATTGATGAACACTGGCAATCAGCGCACGACGCAACCTTGAGCGGCGCTGCCATTGTAAATAGATGATTATAAATGAGCCGAGAAAAACAAATCGTCGGTTTTGCCGGCGTGCCTCCACCGCCGCCGCTGGTATTAGAAAATATTGGATGTCATTAATATTTGTAACTCGCATTCTTCGCTGGTCACGGTATCGGAATTTGTTCGGCAAAGTCGGCGTCGTGTTCGTTTTCGTCCACCTCCACCACACAAACACCAACGGCAGGCTAGTTGTTCGTGAATATGGGTAAACTCCTGCGGCTTCGGGACGAGTTCGTGCGTTGCTTATAGGTTTCGACGCTATCGATGGCTGAGGCTGGCAATGATGCCACCACCACGGGCCGCCTCCACCCGCCTCCCGTGCGGACTTTGACGAGGAAGTAATATTAGTTTAGGAAGTGAACCAATTTATTCAAAACTTCACCGCGCCCTCTGCAAATTTTCCGATGTGCCACGGCATGTCTGCACTGAATTGCTTATACAAAGTGTTGCGAAATTTAAATAAATAAATAATTAAATTTTAACCCTTTTAAAATTATTTGCACCTTTTCATTTTGTTTGATGTATAATATGTCATGATGAAAATCGAATGTATATGAGGGATGAGTCCGAGAATGGAAAATGCACGTGTTGTAAATAATTCATTAACTTGAAATGTTTAGAATTTGAATTTCCATGGTGTCAGTTTTGAATACGGCTAAATTACGGTATAAAGCTCTTTTGTATTCAATAATATTCATAATAAAATATCAAGTTTATTAAAAAAGAGAGAATTAACTCAATCATTTAACAGTAGAGTTAATACGCGTTTATTCTTTGGAAATTGTTTTTTCTATTGTGTATTCTCTGTGGTGGAGGAGCCGTTCCTGTTTATGTTCCACTCTTGAGCAGCTTTCCACCGATCGGGGGCGAGTTGGAACGCGCGCGCGTGAATGTGCTTTATTTTGAATAATAAAACAGTAAATGTAAATGATATATTCGGCGAATTAACGGTCTTCCCGAATCCTGGCAACGCCAGCAGTGGGGTGCCTGCAGGGAAGCAGTTGAAGCCAAAGTCTTGCCTTTGTGTTGCAGAATTTTCGAGAGCAGCTCACTCGAGCGAGTGTACCGTACGGTGTCTAGTGGCTGCTGGTGCTTGATGCTTTGTTCTGGCTTAGTTTTTGTGCGTGGTTTTTTACTTCGCCAGGGCCTCGATTTCGATGGTATACGGCAATGGGTTTGGCAGTACGCCGCGCGCCCTTTTATTTCTTTTTGATGATGCATTTATTTGGTTTTTATTCGCAAACGGCATCTTAGCCACTTTTCCGGGTTGGGATTTATTAACAGCGCCACGCTTTATTAGCTTTTATTCCAGACGCTGAAAATAATGCAACTATAAATCACTCAATGTGTAATGAACTCTGTAATTATTGTGTGTGTATTGCTTAAACTTTTTACTTCCGTTCGCTTTTTCTTGTCACAGTTCACACACTTATGTAATAATCGATTCTTTGTTCTTAATGTCGTTGCTTTGCTTTGTCGCAAAGGACTTGCGGCTAAGTTTATGAACAAAAAAAAAACGCCTGACAGCGGCAGCGCGCGCAAAAAAAGCGAAAGGTGCAAAAAACCATTTGCTCGGGCGCTAAACAAGCGCCGCGCGGCCATTGTAGTGTGTAGTCAGCAAGAAACTGAAAAGGGGCGAAATGTGTGCGGCGACGAAATGACATCGGTATATAAATGCTGTATTATATCGGTGTTTTGGCGGTCGGCAGTTGCTTTTCTCTTTTCGGGCCGTTTTGCCCTGCCGAGCTTTTTTTTGCCACTCCTCGTCCTCCTCCGCAAGTTAAGGTCGTGTATCACTTTTATGCTTCGGACTTGTCGCTGCGGAGTTAGCAATTCCCAAAAGGTAGCTATGTAAATACGAGTGTTTGGTTTCCACTTTTCCGCAAATGTTTTTCTGCATTTTTTTTCCAACGCCACATGTGTGATATTATTTTATATACAGTGTTTTGTATCTTAAATAATCCAACAAATATTTTATTATACACAATAAAGGATATTATTATCCTTTAATAGAATACTACATTTTATACTTGAATATTACAAAAATAAAATGTCAAGTAATTATATAAAACTGTCAGTTATTTATACTCAGTTGCAGTTGAGAATGTTTAATTGCTGCACGTGATGTAAAAAAATAGATTTTTAACATTACAATTAAGATAGGAAGATCAATCGGAGTTCTCGAGTGTCCAAAGTGGTAGATTGATCGTGCGTTGTCGTGCGCAATTTTCCACCCTCGCAAAGCTCCACACAGTAAACCGCACGCAATCATGAACTCTTTCTACGCGCCCAATCATATTCATATATTCGACCGCATTTAATCGCCGCCGTTGTTGTTTTCAAATTCAATTTACAGAGGAGTTTATCACGGCGCAGAAAAAAATCATATAAATGCAAATTGATATTTTACAACTTTCACATTTTTAAAAATAACATAATGCCTATGCTGTTCGGTAATATTTTGAAAAGTATTATATTACTGAAATATAACCTTTTTAATTGTAGACTGACTGACTGACCGAAACGAGCTGCCATCACAATTCGAACGGAGTGCCGAGTATTTATCTGATGCATAAAACGTGACGAGTTATTTGTGTAACCCGTTACTCGTAATAAATGTGCAATTCGCGGCGGTTTCCACCTTTCCCATGTTATATTATTAGATTCAACTCTGTGGCTTGGGCTTAAGCTGCACGTTGTTAGTGCCGGGCGTGATAAAATTCAATATTCGTAAAGGTCACTCAAAGAGCGCATAATCACCGTTTGGTCTAATAATAAACCGCAATTACTGCAATTATACCGACCGTATTGTGTAATGCAGAACTAGGCATCTAATATTTATATGTTTTGCTGACATCTCAAATAGGAAATGATTCGTGATGCATACGAAATAGAGCGTAAGTATGTACATACGTAAAATGGATTTCGATTTAATTTGCTGTTTGCTCTTCATATAAGCGCGAGCGTGTCTCGCGAGCTCGAATGTAAATATTTATTATTTGTTTGTCATTTAGCGACGACGAGACATGCTGCGCTGGTCGGAGTCTAGCAAAACGCGTCTCGTTTCACTTTTTTTTTATTTTCGTTTTAAGCGTTTGCATGCGTGTAAATATTGGATATTCTTTAATCGTGGAATGAATCCTTTGTGAAGCGTTTAATTTCATTGCAAACATTGTTTTTAGACATGGCGTAAATAAATTACGATGGCACGTATATATTTACGGTTGTACCTGATGTAAATGTGCAAACTACACGTATTGAGTTTATAGTTTATAGTTTGTGATCGAATTCACATTTTTATTGTGGTGGTCGTGGTGACATGTTTGAAGAGTATGTTAACTTCCGGTACGCATGATCGAAGTGACACATACCTACCAATATTACATGGCGATGAACTTTTTGATCGAAAAGTTTTCCTATTTTCATCAGAATTGGGAAAATCAAGTATTTGCATGCGCCTGTGAATAAATGAAATGTCAAACATTTCACGCACGCAAACTTAAATATTAAAATGTTTTCGTGGTAAAAAATAAAAATATATATTTTAGTTGCTTTTTTTATAACAAACTGATGTATTTATGTTTATATTTAGTATATATTTTATTTTCCGTTCCTTTTTTTACGGACTTCTTCTCGTAATGGCGATTTTAATGTTTAATTCTTATTGATTATTTTATTTCCAGGTGAGTTCCGATTTTCCGCTTCGCTTTGATGGTAAAAGGCAAAACTCAAGTGAGTAAATAAAGTATGAGTAAATAAATAAGAGCAGCGGTGAAGTTTCAACTGAACGCAGTCCAAACTTACTCTAAACTTAGTTCCTACTGAAGAAACTAAGTATTAATAAGTGAGCACTTGTAACTAGTGACATATGCATTTGTGATATATACATTTATGTCAAAAATGAAGATAAAAATAGTAGGCAAATGTGGCTGTAACGAATAAAAATTAGTTTGTACTATTGAATGACGGAGGCGGAGGCGCCGGGCACACCGAGTTGACATATATCACAATCAAGCGTGCGGCAAGCAAACAGGAATGGATTAAACGTGTTTGTTTGTCGGTATTATTATTGCGGACTTTGTGTTTGCACCGGCGTCCATTGTGGGCATGTCGGGGCACTTCAGTCGTGGCCTCCGTAATTGGAAATCGATAAGTCATTAACTTGCATACGCGCCTACCTACTACCCAAGGCGCTGCTGTTCTTTTCAGCCCAGCTCATTCCTCGTAACTAAATCATTACGGCCGGAAAGCAAGGAAACAATTTCGTTGCAAGTGTTAATGTCGCCGACTTAATTGCTCTTTTACAGCCCACCGGCCGTCGCTGTTAACGATTAGTCAGCACCATTGATGTTTTTATTTTAAATCGACGCTTACGTTAATTAAGTGGTGTTAATTTAGGCTCTATTAATTATTCACAATTACATGTGTACACGCACTGATAGAAAGCGTGTTAATTTATCATTGATTTTAAGTGAGAGCTCAACTAAACGACTGGTGGTGAGTTAATTGAACCTAGGTGGATGAAAATTGAATTTTGACGAGTGAGGAAAAGTCGCTTTTACGATTTCGGCGGGCGTGTAATATAAAATTGAGCCGAAAAGTGTAATAAGAGTTTATGATCTTACGGCGGTGACTTTAACCGAGTTGCACAAGTTTGTCGTACGGGACGACGAAACGGCCGCCTGCGCACTTTCACGGGGCGGCGATAGTGTCGCGACGGAACAACATTCGAGCTTCCGACGCGGAGCGCTTTAGTTCTCAACTTTTGCAGACTCTACTCTTATGGCCATCGCGATATGAGCGGCGAACCGACCTCAGCGCTTCGGCAATTGCGAATGTGGATGCGAATATTGCAATAAAGTACCGCGGAACGACTTTTTGAGTCGGTGTCGACTGTAGAGCGAATAAAACTGCAAAAGGACAAACACATTTTTTCTATACAAATTTTTGCAATGCTTCCATTTTATTATCAATGTTATTTTTCAATCTTTAAGGATTATTATGCATTTTTTCCATTTTTATAAAATATTCACTCTGAACTTTTTCGAAAGCCGTTAACAAACATATGAAAATACTTGCTTGTATCTGACATTTACTACCACGTTGTTTGTAAGTTTCTTCACATTTTGAAGCAACGTCACGTGTGTTAAACTTAAAATCCAAATGTGGATTAGCAAAAGCCAAGTCAATTGTATCATCATCATTAAACGCATACACTTTGTCTGCGATGCAAGATGCAAAACAAGCTTCATTTTCATTTGTTACCATTCCATCATCCGACATTGTGATTGATTTTAAATCACTAACTTTAAATTGTTTCGAGCATTCTTGTGGAGACTCTTTTCTTGCACTGTTCAGGAAACAATTAACAAATTGTTCAGCTTCATCACAACTTGGTTTTGCAGTCAAATTAAAACAACTGGCAGCGTATTTTGTATAGACTTTCCCAATTTTATCAGGATTGATTGCATCACCAGCAGGTGTCAACATGTTGGAATTTTCAAGCGCGCATAGACAATTACATTCTGGTGTAATAGACGAGTCATTAGCGCAAATTAATCGAGCTCTTTGAATTTCAATCATCGGTGAATATATTAATTGAGAACAGTGCTGGAAATATAAATGATAAATGTTAGTAATGCTTTTTTATTTCGTTTTTAATTTACTTACGATACTGGCAAAGCCAGCAAATATTAAAATTCCATGATACAATTTCATCTTGTTATGAACACTGCTGCAATATAACTGAACTAGCGAAACTTGTTAATATTTCATTTGTTATAAAATTCTAACAGGAAACAGGATGCGGTGTTGTTCTGCCAATTAATCTGTGTGTAACAATGCAATAAAGTTTATCGTGGTGAACAAAAAACAAACATTTTATTATTTCACTATAAGTGCGAAGTGTTAAATGGAATTTATTGTTAATTATTTATTTTAAAATTTATTTTACCACTAGTATTGACGTTGTTTAACTGCGTAATAATATGTATAGAAACACATGAATGTCATTGCTTTTCTCTGACACATACTTTCTTGTTTATTACGTTTTTCACACTTTGCAATAAGTTCCTCTGCATCACACTCAAAATTATTATCCGGATTGATAGACGCTAGGTCAATTTTGTTGTGAAACAAGCAAGATTCTCATCTTTGGCTATCATTTCTTCAGATAGGGCTATTACATGTGGATTTTCTTGTGGATATTGCCGCAGACATTCCTTCATAGTATCATCTTTTGCTTGCTTTGTTTTGTTGTAGTAGCATTTAGCGAATATATCAGCTTCCTCACAAGTTGGTTTTGATTTGAATGTAAAACAGCTTTCTGCGTATTGTTTGTAAAATTTTGTAAATTTATTAGTGTTGATTGCATCTCCTGATGGTGTTAACATGTTGGTTTTTTCCAAAACACAGCTCGTGTGACATTCTGGTGTCAATGATGCATCTTCAGTGCATTTTGATCGAGCTTCTCGCATTTCGTTGATTGGGTCATAAAATAGGTCTGAATACTAGGACACGTATTGTTTTTATTTAATTATATTGTTAATTATATTAATAACGATACTTACACTAGTTGCAAAGATGGAAAATATTACAAACACGTTAAATAACTTCATGTTGTTGTTGTGGTTTACCCTACTTTTTGAGTTGAACTGCTAAAATTATAACTGATCACAGTTATATATAATAAATATGAATTGTACTAATGAAGCGGATGTAGGGTTATTATTTGAATAAGTACTGTTAGTTGAATACAATCATATTAGTAATAATATGCAGTATAATTTTATCAGATAGGTGTTAATATTTGCTTTAATTTGTTTTAATTATTTTCTAATCTTTTCCTTTCATAATATTCATGTTTTGCTTTTGTGAATGTATCGTCCACGCAAATAAAAATGTTTCCTTTCCTTTGACATTGGTTCTCCTGTTTATTACTTTCATCACACTGTAAAACAACTTCAGTTGCATTAAACTCGAAATCAATGTGTGGATTGATAAAAGATAAATCAATTTTTCCATCGTCTGAAAACATGTGCATTTTTTCGCTAAAGCAAGCAACTAGACAAGCAACAGTTTCATTTTTAGCTAACTCCTCTTCTGTCATTTTTAGTGAGTCCAAATTTGCGACTGGAAACCGTTTTCTACACTCGTCTATTGCTTCATAGGTTGCGGAGACTGATTTGTTGTAGTAACACTTTACCAAATCATCTGCTTCCTCACAATTTGGTTTTGCATTAAAAGTGTAACAACTTTTGGCGTACCGTTTGTAAAAGTTGCCGAATTCAGAAGCATTAATTGCATTTCCGGACGGGGTTAACATATTTACTTTGTCCAATGCACAACTGGCTTTACACTCTGTTGTTATTGAGGTATCATTGTTACATTCATCATAGGCTCTTCGTATTTCATTTATTCGATCATGAAATAAATCAGTACATTCCTACAAAAAAAGACTTGTGTATTTGATTGTCACCAAAATTGTAAACTATTGAACTTACCGTTTTTACAGCAATGCTTAACAGCAGTAACACACACAATAAATTCATCACGTTATAATCTACTCTGTTGAACTACTAACATGATTTGAGGTTCACATCTATTTTATAGGAAATTCGATACCAGTAAACAGGATGTGGTTTTCCTGTTTATTTTAATAGGAATATTACAATATTGTAATATCAAATAATAAATGTATTATTTTTCACGTTTTGTTTGTAGGTAGCACTTGGTTCTTTTTCATATGCTTTAACAAAGTATTTTTCTTTTAAGACATTTACTTCCTTCTTTATATATTTTTTTGGCACTGTGTTGCAGTTTTAAAAGCATCAAACGGATTGACACACGCTAAATTAATTTCATCGTCGTCAGAAAAACCGTGGCTTTTGTCAATTGCACAAGATACAAAACACGCCACTGATAAACTGATTACTGTTTTATATAATAAATATAATTCATAGTAATTATTCGGATGTAGGGTTATTATTTTAGTAGGTACTTTTAGTTTGATACAAATATAACAATCATAATATGCAGTATAATTTTTTTCAGATAGGTGTTAATGTTTGCTATACTTTGGTTTTATTATTTTGCAACTTTTTTCTTTCATTATATTCGTGTTTTGCTTTTTGGAATGCATAATTTACGCATACATAAATGTTTCCTTTTCTTTGACATTGGCTTTCTTGTTTATTATTTTCGTCACATTTTAAAACAACTTCAGTTGCATTAAACTCAAAATGAATGTGTGGATTAATAAAGGATAAATCAATTTTGCCATCATCTGTATACATGTGCAATTTTTCACTAATGCAAGCGACTCGGCAAGCAATAGTTTCATGTTTAGCCAACACCTCTGCTGTCAACGGTATTAAGTGTATATTTTCGACTGGAAACCGTTTTCCACACTCAGTTCCTACTTCATTGTTTGCGGAGATTGATTTGTTACGGAAGCAACTTATGAATTCACTTGCTTGCTTACAATTTGGTTTTGCACTATAAGTGAAACAACTTTCGGCGGACGGTTTGTAAAAGTTACCAAATTCCAAAGGATTAATTGCATTTCCAGACGAGGTTAACATATTTGCCTTGTCCAATGCGCAACTCAATTTACACTCTGCTGTTATTGAGGTGTCAGCTTTACATATACCATAGGTTTTTGCTATTTCCAAAATTGGATCACGAAATATATCAGAACATTTCTAAAAAGAAGACTTGTGAATATGATTGTCATCAAAAATAGTGAACTTACCGTATTTACAGCGATGCTCAACAGCAGTAAAACACATAATAAATTCATCGTGTTACAGCCTACTCTGTTGATCTACTAACATGATTCGACGATCACACCTATTTTATAGGAAAGTCTAAAGCAGTAAACAGGATGTAGTTTTGCTCAGTGTTTATTACAATAGGAATATTACAATATCGTGGTATTTTTTTGTTTTACATGAAATTAATTCATGCGTATCAAATAATAAGTGTATTATTTTACACGTTTTGTTGATAGCTAGCACTTTGTTCTTTTTCATATGCCGCAACAAAACACATGTAAATATTCGCTCTTTTAAGACACTTACTCCCTTCTTTATATTTTTCTTGACACTGTGTAGCAGCTTTAAAAGCATCAAACTTAAATTTTATGTGCGGATTGACAGCCGCTAAATTAATTTCATCGTCGTCAGTGAAGTCGTGGCTTTTGTCACTTACACAAGCTACAAAACAAGCCAAGTTTTCATTTTTGCTCATTTCTTCTTCATTTACTTTAACTGATTCTACATTTTCAAGAGGAAACTCTTTCATACACTCTTCCATTACTGCTTTAGGGGCATCATTTGATTTGTTGTGGAAACACCTAACGAAAGCTTCTGCCTCCTCACAAGTTGGTTTTGCTTTGTAAATGAAACAATCCTCTGCAAATGCTTTATAAAAAGGTCCAAATTCATAAGGATTTATTCCATCTCCTGAGGGTGTTAACACGTGGGCTTTGTCCAAAGCGCAGCTAGTGACACATTCTGGTGTTACAGAGGAATCATTAGTGCACGTCAATCTAGCATTACTTATTTCTCCGATTGGGTAATGATATAATTGCGAACATTTCTATAAAAATTATCTTAAAACCAATGACAAAATGCAAAAATAAATACTTACGGCGGTGATGATTCCGAGAAATAGAAATCCACTAAGTAAATACATTTTACTTGTTTCTCGGTGAGCTACACGTTTTGAACTAATGATTAAATGACGTGTTTTAAATAATAAAGTCGCCAGCAGGAAGCAGGATGTTGTTCGCTTGGATATTCGCTCAATTATCGTTTTGTATATTCATTGTCATATTTGACTAAAATTATCCCAATGCCACTCGCAGTAATTTACATTATAAATGTTATTTTTCATTCTGTTGATTTGAAATGTTATTCCTCAATTGTTATCGTCAATTTAGAGCACCCAAAATCTAGCCTGCCACTCTACAGTCTGCACAGCATTTACAACTCCGATTGTTCGATCGGATTGTGTGCACTTGCACCCGGGGGATAAATTTCGGAAGCAATCGGCACTGATTAGCTAATGATGAAAATTAACTCCCCGGGTACAGACAATCCAGAACGTTCGTTACCCTCAGAGTTTATTTTTAGAATGTTTTTTGTTCCTTCTGAATCATGAATATGTATTTTTTTGTTCTTTTCAAAGGTTAAAGGTATGCAATTTTTGCCTCGCGGATTGAAAGAAATAAAATAATCTTTATTTCGTTGAATCGACGAAGGTGTAATGTTTTCCAGGGCTTTGTTTGTTATTACAATAGGTAAGAACTCCGTAATGTTATCGTTTATTCTTTATCCAGTTAGGATTGGAAAATAAAATGAGCGGCTGTTAGACGAAACCGCGCAAACGGTTTACCCAGTTCTCAGATTCTACTGGTGAGTGCATTTGTCGAAACTATTTTTTGCTACTTTACTAAAACATTCCTTTCTATTGAGTGATAACTTGAACGTACTGTATGTAAACGATAATGCGTGGTTTTGCGGTGTGTGGACGAAGGGCATTATTGGCTTTTCTTAGGTTTTTGGTACATAATTTTGGTTTTCTACAAAAAAAAAAAACTGCGCCGAACAAAAGCGCAAGCACCGAAGGACCTCGGGATGAATCGTTGGCGTCGGTGGAAATAGTTGGCCGTTTCCATAACACACTCGTAAAGGTTAACGCGACGACCAGCGACCAACGACCGACGACGAGCCTCGGAGAGTTCAGTTCGGTTCGCGTGGACAGCGGCGCCATTTCCGCGCCATTACAGCCACCGCTAGTCGCGCGGCGGTCAGACTAAACCGGAGCAATGAAGACACGGCGCGCACCGGAAGCGAGCGGCCCATGGTCGTTTCGGTGGCATAAAGATAAAGGAAGCCCGTGCTCGGATGGTAAGTGGTTGGCTGCCGTGTTGCTCATTTTGCGGACCGTTAAGTCGCTCACCTAGCCACGCACATTTTGTCTAAAATCCACCCGTATGACGTTCGAATCTTGGCGAATCCACGTTTTATCAAGCTATACTAGTCCTCCGAGGTGTGGACATTTGGACATTTTATGTGAGTTAATTGAAAGCTCAAAAGAATTCTTTATTTTTATTCTGCTGATTTCTTCTGAATTTTATTCGAGTTCAAAAGACTTGGTTGTCAATTTATATAAAAAATTAAACGAATAACTAACTAAATAAAAATCCCGTGAAAAATTTATTTAGCGGAGCGTGTGCAGCAAATAAATCTTGTTTATTGAGTTATTACTGTCATTTATTATTATTTTTGGGTTTGCATGACATCGCTGCTCGGACGCATTTATAAACGCTGTAAAAATGTGTTAGCACACACTCGCCGTCACTCTAAATGCATGGTTTGGTGAGATTTAATATCCGAAAAAATACGCATCCTTTAAAATATACCCTCAATAATAATAAAACGCCGCTAAAAATAAAATTGCGGTTGTGAGCATTTTTTACGATAAAATCTTTTCTATATTTTATATATTTTTTATATAATAATATTTGTATCAACAATATTGTTGCTGTATGAGTGATTGACTTGTATGCATTGCGTTAGTTAAGTGTTTAACTATGTACGCTGGATGTATGCAATCGAAAGCATTGAGGTTCTGTCGCCTCCGGCATCCATGAATTAGAAAGAACGTTAGCGCCTAAAGAGGGTACATGAATTAAGCGTTTTTCATGTGTAGCGAAGCAGGTGACAAGGGGGTGATAGATCGCCTTCGCGGTTGTGCGTTGACTGTGCGTCTCCTTCGCAGCCGCCGTCGCCGTCTCTGTGGCAACGCGCAACGTATCGGAAGAAGTCCGCCACCGCGTACGCTCACACATAAAGGCCGTAAGAGGTAGTGAAAGGTGTCGTAAGTAATTCATATAAAAGTGCCTATCCGTAATCCCCGTATAGCTAATGTAATCTATCTGTTGTAAGCTGGAGGCGTGGAGGAGTGCCGGCGGGTCTCGGATCGGCGGGTGGGAAGAGGGTTTTGTGGTCGGCGTCGTGTACGTTCCGTCGTCATCGCACACCCGACGCGCTCCCTCGGATGGTGAAGGCGCCGGGCGCGGACCCGATGCTTTGCCGGAAAGGAGCATTGAGCTGCTGATGAATGGCGGTGTTGGCTCTAAGCCTTGCTTGCACACTTTGTCACCTCGTGCTTTATGCCTTTGATGGATGGCGCGGCCCAGATGTTTCCCCACGTCTCTATTAATACCGAGTTTTTCTTTTCTCTTTTTCTCACGCTTTCCTTGCGCTTTTTGTTGTTTTCACATCGGTCCTGGAACTTAACCCCAGGTAAGTTTCAGGTATTAATACCCGAAGCATTCATACATTTTGATCTGTTAAATAATAGTGGGTTTTATGCATGTAGTAATTTAGTTAAAGCTCCTGTTTTTCTATGTTAGTTTGTTGTGGATTTTCAGGGCTTAGAAAAGCTCGTACAAAACAAAAGTGCAAAAAAAAACTTCAACGTTATCTGGAGTGGCCGCGCGCGCGCCGCTTCGCATATTTTCATCGTCTAAAACCCCCGCGTTGCAGATAACGAGAGTCTATGCATATCAAATAGGCAAACACGCGTACACATAAATTGCTAATTTGATTGTTAGTGCGAACAACTCCACTAACGCACGCTCCTCCGCACACCGCTCACACATAAACATACCATTACCATCCACAGTTCATCCACTTTTACAATTTCAATTTGGTCTCATTTATATGCTAAGTGACCATTGCGCAGGGCATACTCACATGTTGCTCATTTATTCTACCTTTCAATCATCATACAGTGTGTATCCACTCAACTTTCATAAATGAAATTTAGGTCATCGCACTTGGGTGCGGTTGGAAAAAATAGTAGCTAAAACGTAATAACATTTACAGGGTGCTTCAAATTTTATTTTAAAGCTCCTGAGACACATCCGACACGAGCGGGATTTGCACAGAAAAGAGTCTTTTTATGATGTTGGTAACATCCATTTTACTTTACGGTCCAAATATATAATAATCTTTTTTATGGGATTCCTGAAAGAAATAACGACGTGGAAACCTCTAAAATCTAAAAAGGGAACCCCGGATCTTCCCTGCCCAAAAAGGGATGGCTCGATGACACGAAAACAATGAAAGAATGAAAATATAAAAAGGGATACCATATGTGGTCCGACTTAGCGGTTGTCATTTGCTGATGTAATAATTTCACGTTATTAATTCATATTTAAATAGATCACATCGAACTTGTTTTGTAATTCTGTTTGAATCTAATGCTTATTATAAATACAATAAATGTAATAGAGCAGGTAGAAATGCCAAGGCGAAATGGGCGTCAGAGGAATGTACCATTGTCGAAACGGCTGTGGCATGTACCGCCTCTAAAGACTTGCTCATTAATTAGTTTAGGATTAGACGAAAACTTTGCTGATTATTTCAGCGGATGGGTGACGGCGTCGCCTGAAACTTTAAAACTGTCACAATCAATCTGCCGACTGCCGACGCACTTTATCGAATTAGAATTGATGATAATTATATGCGAGGTGATTTAGTGACTCTTGTATATCGTGGTATATTGCGCGTGCAGATGAGTCTGCGAAAGCCGCTGTCGGCCCACTCGCATTATTAGCGATTTCAATTAAATTTTGCTGATTATTAATTAACGGTATTTATGAATAATTGCCGGCGTATGGTGGGTATATGATTCACGCGTTCAATGGGGGGTCGTAAACGCGAATAACGGACAAGCAAACCGATTATTTGACGTTTTCGATAGCATAATGCTCGGGTACCTCATTACCGAATTCAATAGAGTGTAGAGAAATGAAATGCGATGCAGGTAATCATCTGGTTTAACCCAACAAACATTAAAATGTCATTCATTAATTATTTATACTCGAGATTTAATTTAAAAAAATTAACATGAAATTACTATTGTTCCTTTCATAAATTATGATTATAAAATTTTATACACGTAACCATTATTAAAATAAAATGTTTTCTAATATAATGCGAAATAAATGAGTAATCTGACAAGCAAGGATCTCTTATTGCGTCCGAAGAAGAAAAATCAAGAACATCAAATTAGAAACGAGTCAAAGAGCATTATGCCGGAGAAGGCTCGAGGACATGATATAATCAGATGGGGAATTTGATTAAAAACGAACAATGTCATTTATCAAACAGACTTTTCCTCATCGAATAAAATTTATGAACAGAGGAAATAAACCGCACTCACAAAATGACAAAATAATATTTTACCCTACAATTTATTGTTTGATGCGATCGGACTTCCAACTTTATGAAAGAGAATTACATAGTAATAAATATTCTTTACTGTAGCGTGGCATCTAACACGACTAAATTAATAATATAATTATTCTGTTGTGACTTTTTATTGTTCACGTAGCTTCTAATTTAAGAATTAATTTACCTACGTTCGTTGCTCATTAATCTTTTAAATATCAACGAACAAAACGTGCTTCCGAAAGTGGATCTAATGAATAATTAACGTGGTTATTTTCGTTTCCAGTTGGCTTTTTTAACCGATGCCAAGAATATCACGATGGATGTATTTCCGTATCGAGTCCGAATTCAAACTATGCTTGATTGTTATTGGCTCTCCGGAGAAGGATATTCTTATCCTCATCATGTTCATCATTCTCAACGTTAATAATACACTCCGCTTTGCATTATTCATGGGGATGAATTGCTGTATTGATTGTTCGTCCATTGGGGGTTTAATTCTAGTGCAATTGCTTGAGGCAAAGTCAAATAAGTTGATCTATATATTTTTTCTT